GCGTCGTAGGCGAGGTGAAACTCGGCCCACGACAACGCGCGCTGACCTTTACTGCCGCACTCAGCCGTCACTCCGTCGGCGTCTGCGCGGTCGACCCCGCGGGCGATCGCGGCCCAGGTCGGGAGAAAGCCGCGCAAATCAGAGTAAACGACAGGGTTCGCGCAGCCCCTCTTTCTCGCGCGTACGACCTCGGCAGCCATCCAATCACATTTCTCGCTCCTGTGCAAGGCAGCGACCGCTGTCACCGCCGCTGGCGCGCTCACGTGAGGGCGCGCCTCGGCCAGATCGTCTGGCTGAGGCCGTTCAACATAAACGTCGCCAATTCAGCGCCCACGTCTACGTGGTGCACGGGGGCGGCCATTTCCACATTGGCCTCCGCCCCGATGCGAGCGTGCAGACCAGGGGGGCTCGCCGGGCGCGCTCGCGCACGCTACCTGCTTACCCGCAGTTGCGGCGCGCTCCAGCGCGCGGCGGAGCACGCCTTTCACGCCCGCCGGCAGGCCCTCCGAGCCTGACAGCTCTTCTAGCCCAATGTTCGCCAGCTGTGCCGGCGTCAGCAGCTTGTGAGCGCCTAGGCAGTCAATCGCAGCCTTGTATTCGATGTCCGACCATTCTGCCCCGAACACGGGGTCTTGGCGCAGAAAGCTCAGCAGCGGCCCGTCCGCCATCACGAACAAAGAAGCCAGAAAAAAACACCAGCGTCGCACTGCTCGCACACGCGGGGGTCACGCGGCGGGCCGACTGCAACGCAGCGCACACTACACGCGCGCAGAAAGACGGCGACGCCGGTAGCAACACGAGCGAGCTGCCTGCAGATACCTGGTCCGCCGCTTCGCAGACGCAAAACGAACGCGCGCACCCCGAACGCGGGGGAGGAACGGCGGCGCCGGGAACGCAACGCGAGATGCCTGCGGAAACCTGATCCGCTTATGGCCGCGAGCGCGGGTCACGCGTCTTACCGAGCGGGCAGGCTCTGGCCAGCTGGTCGATCCTCGCGCCTCGTGCGCACGGCCCAAGCGGCACCGCGGCCGTCAGCTCCATCGAGGGGCTGCCTGAGGGCCCTGCGGCAGATGTGCGCCTCCGTGGCGACGATCTGCTGCGATCGCGCTGGGGGGCTGGATGCCCCCGCCGTCCGCACACGCGACAGTAAGAACACACAAAAGGGCCAATGCGACACGTCTCGCGACATGAGGCGGGCTGCGTTCGTTGACGGCACCTCGTCGTCAGACGACATCGCTACACAGCGCACTTAGACTTAGTAGCCCGCGCAGCGACCCTTATGCGGCCTCCAGTTGCGGGAGGGAGCGCGCAAATCCACGCTGGGGCGACACGCGCGGCACGAGCGCGTGCGTCTGTTAAAAGCGTCGTGGTCGCGTGCGCCGCCCTAGGCGCCCGCGACCCGCGCTGGCGGGCGCACTCGCAGCTTTACCCGGCGGAAGTGCGCTTCATCGCCGCTGTCTGGATTGTCAATTAGACGGTAGCGTATCACGGGTGCAGAGACGATCTGGGGCTTAGCGTAGCCCATTATGATATGGCAGACGTCGCGCGGCAAACGCGGTGCGCATTGGGCCGGGGCGAAGCGCAGTTCAGCCCACACCTGCCCCAGCCTTACTAACCGAGGGCCGACTGCTCCGAGTCGGACTGGCGACCAGCAGCTCTCGTTGGCAGGTGGTGCCGGCATAACTAGGGGCGGGCCCCTCGGCGTTCGCCCCTGCAGCCTGGGGCCCGCCCCCTTAACCAGCAGGTAGCGAAGCCGCTCGCGCGCCTGCGACAACACTGCGTCTGCGTACGCGACCCGCGCGCGGGACGCAGTGCGCACCATGGAGCCCCTGTCTGTTTTCGCCTCGAACGGCACGAGCGCCGCCTGCGCAGCCTGCTCCGCCATCGCAAGCAAGCAGAAGCCGCTGACTTCACCCGACATTCGGAGCCGCTGCGAACCTGCGGCAGCCGGAGCAAAAACCGTCGACCGACGGCGGGAATTCGCTGCCATTGCCCTTCGAGTCTGGCGCGCTGCGAGTCCCGCGCTCGACTGTCCACTGGGAATGCGAAAGAAACGTTTGCAACGATTGGCCACTATGGGCCTCCAAGCGAGACGCGCGGGCACGGGCAAGCCGCAACGGCCGCCCTATCGAAGATTGGCCGCTCTAGGGCCGCCAGACATGCGGGCTGGAATCGGCTGCCCTGCTACTGAATGGCCACTCTGGGCCGCCAGACGAGGGTCGCTCTGGACCCGCGAGGAGGAACCCTGTGGGCACGTCGGTCACACTGGGCCGACGTAAGAGGCCACTCTGGGCTTGATAGCAACGAGGTGACCCATCAGGGCCGCGAAACAGACTCCGCCGGGGTGGAGAAACAACGCGTAGGTCACCAGGGACCAGCGGTGTGGGCCCGAGGTGAACCAAGGGACACAGGACCCGCAGGGAAAAGCCCTAGACAACGACACCCACGAGGGGCCACACTGGGCCAGAAAAGAAGCGCGACCGCGGTCGCGTCCGACGACGCACTCTGGCGAACGGACGCCCCGCGCGTCGCCCCCAGGGTTGGTCCAGAGCCGCACACTGGCAGACAGAGGACCACACCCCGGCCACCCGCCCCACCTTAAGAAAGTACACTAGGCAGGTGGGGCGCTGCAGACATGACCGGGTGCTTGATATCCCGCCCCGCGGCCAGGCGGCAAAGAGGAGACATCACGACCGTGCACGGAGGAGCGGAGGGAGGAAGGACCCCGACGCACGGCCGCGCGGCACGCCAGCATGCCCGCGCGGGGCCTGGCCCGCCCGACGTAGCGGCGGCGCGTGGCGGGTGGACATGCGGGCGCCCGCCATCGCGCGGTGCGCCGACGGCGGGACACTCCCGCCTGGGGGCGTCGACTTATGACTTGCAATAACAAGTTATTAATGCCCCATCATCATCACCATCATCTTCATCATCATCAGCAGCAGCATCATCAGCATCGTAATCATCATCAGCAGAATCACCGCATCATCATCATCATCATCATCATCATCAT